GTTTCTCCTACATGATGATGCACCGATACGCCGATGCCATCCGCATGTTCAGCCACATCTTGATCTACGTCTCACGGACCAAGAACTTCCAAAAGAACGCCCAGTTCGACTCCATCACCAAGAAGAACGAGCAGATGTATGCTCTGATTGCCATCTGCGTGGCTTTCCACCCCACCAGACTGGATGACACCATCCACAGCGCCCTGCGCGAGAAGTACGGCGACCAGCTGCTGAAGATGCAGCGTGGCGGCCCCGAGTCGCTGCCCATCTTTGAGGAGCTGTTCCGCGCCGCTTGCCCCAAGTTCATCTCCCCCGTCCCTCCGGACTTTGATAACCCCGAGTCCAACATCGACCCCGTGGAGCACCACCTGGCCATCTTCATGGATGAGGTCAAGACCAACATGTACAGCCCTACCATCAAGTCCTACCTCCGACTCTACACCACCATGGATCTGACCAAGCTCGCTGGCTTCCTCGAGGTGAAGCCCGATGAGCTGCGATCTTGGCTCCTGGTCACCAAGCAGCGCACCAAGCAGCTGCGATGGCAGGACCAGGGTCTCATGGATGGCGAGCTGGTCAACGTCAGCGACCTTGACTACGCCCTCCAGGGAGTATGTTTTCCCCCTTTTCTACTGTTCTCTTAACAGCCCTATTGCACTATAGAGCCTTGGCTAACTATTTTTTTTTTTTTCTACAGGACCTCATTCACATCTCAGAGGCCAAGGTTGGCCGAAAGTTGGTTGACTGGTACCTCCGCAACCTGTCTCGCACCTACAACTAAAGCGAGCAGACGGATAAGTCGAGTTACCCATCATGCGGTAGGAAGAAAACACGGCCGGTCTACCACTCTCATTTATATGTGATGTGCGGTGGTGTGTAAATTTCTCCACCCTTAGCCCAGGTGGACGCTGGTCCGATTAGAAAATGATACTATGCGTGGCAAAAAATACGGAAATTGTTGAAGGGAAGATGGGGCGGGTATACTGGATCAACAACTGGCCAGTTGCATGGCTATGGCGTCACGGAGTTGGTTGGAACTCGTATGAGGGCACGAGGTTTGCTCGAAAGTGGCCCTGGGGGAGGTAGAATACAAATTTTGAGGCAGAAGTATCTTTGTAGAGTGTTCATAATGTTGACGTGGAATTACGGCTGAAATAAAAGAAAGGAATTGTTCAATTTTCATTATTCACCCACTTGCTGGGCTGAGCCTTGATGCTACAGGTGATCAAATAAGGAGCCATGTCGTTTCTTCATCCCAGCATACAAGTAGGTACGTAACCGACAATGCAGGGGGACTTGATGCCAAAGGCTATGAGTCAACGCGATTCACAATGCGGGATCTGCGAAATAGCGCTAGCGCACACAGCCCGGATGGAAGAAGCACGTTGGATTTGGCTTTACTGAGAAGCTGAGCTGGCTGGCTTTTTTAGTTGGGTGGTGGCTTTGGAACGATGCTACACTACTATCCACGTATTAGTGGGAGGCAAGCAAAAAGCGTGGCACAAACGACCTAAGCTTCTCCCGGCAATGTGAGGCACCCAGCTCGAGGCTAGAAAATTTTAAGTTGAAGGAATACCACGGTGCTACAGGCATTAAGCTTTTGGGCTAGCTAGGGCTGAAAAGGGGTGGTGATGGGCTGGACGTTGGATTTTGAAGATGGCAAAAAAAGGGAGAAGAGTCAGGTGAGCAGCTGCACGGGGCTAGGATTAGCCCCCTTGCTGGCGGGAGATGACACGACGAGCTTGCTTGGACGGTTCTGATGTGCTTGTCTTGCATATGGAGTACGTAAACTAATGCCATTGCTATTGTGTTTGCACCTTGCTTGTGGGTAGCGTAAGGTGGCTGTGATGTCTGATGCGGGAGGAGATCGATGCTACTCTGTATACGGCGCCAAACTAAGACTGGTAAGAACTTGGACGGCAGCAGGTGATTCATGTCTATCTCGGGGTGTTTCCGCCTCCAAGTATATATATAGATAGATAGGTTTAGTGAAAGCGAATGGTGAATGAATAAAAAGCCCCCAAAATGATCATCTCCGAAAACATCCTACAGCACGCATCGTACAACGTGTCAAAGCTATAGAGCTGCAGCCGCTTTCTTATCTTGGCATCCAGCCTAGACCAACACAAGGTTGGTGTATGTGACTGCAGGCTGTAGCTGCATCAAGAGCGAGGGTTGCACCGAGCATGGATGACGGTGGCGTTGTTAAGAAGAGAAACAATAATATATAATGCTATTCGTTCTTATTGGCTCACCTGCGTCTTCAGCAGAGAACAGCATAATGAATCCTTGTCACCGGCGAGAGTGAGGGGGACAAAAGCCAAGCTTCTTGGCGCCCAACCTATGGTTCATACGGAACGGCATCTCCCATTCACATATGCCATAATATTTGATATTTGTTCATTCGGAGACTTATGTGGCTTTCCCGTATGCGTGTGTGCGTGTCGTTTGATCCTCTCGATGCGCGGTGCTGGTGCGATTGGCTGAATGTGCCAAGCTCTATCCCCATGTGGACATATTGCCATTACTCGATGCGAATAAGGTCTCCGTATCTAAGCTCTGCCGACCAATGGAGCGGTACAGGAGGCCTGGATACTGCCTCTTACTGAGCTGGGCGTTTTTTGGGGAATCCTGGTCGCGGCAGCAGAGGGATTCATACCTTATATAGCTGGGAATGCCAATATCAACACCATTTATTTCTCCGGTGGCCTTGGATGCTACGGTGCTATCGACGGGCTCCGCATTTAAGCCGCTTTTCACCTTATTTTTCAGTTTCAAATTTTCTTTCGCCATTTCTTCTTGCTATTCTTCTTCTTCCTCCTCCTTCTCCTCCTCCTTGCTTCTGAGTTGAAACTTGTTGCTGTTCTGTTGTGGGCCCGGCTGCGTCGCATACATCTTAACTACTAACGCACACTACGAAGTACAAGTGGTGACGCTACCAATCCAGCCAGCCAAAGCTTCATCTCAGCGACAGTCCACTGCTGCACGATACAAGGCGCACTAGGCATTGAATCTCATAAACACAGCTTGGCACCTTGGCCTCTATCCGACACTCTTACTCACCGCCATTGCATCGCCACGATTCATACCGGTTTTCTCGGAAAGACATCCATCCCGGGTATTCGCCTTTTCTGCCTGATTTTGGAGGCCTCGACCTGCGTTATCGTCGGCTCTAGCATAAAGCGTGCTTGACACCAAAATACCATCCGCCTGTTCCGAGCCATTACTGCCAACGACAGGTTGGGAAGCAAAAAGATAAATTAAACAAAGAGAAAATACACGGTGAATAGCAGCAGGTCAGATCTGCTATCGACAAGCTCCCAGACACTAGTGGACCAAAGCTGCCATAAAGCGGAGGCAAAGAGGAGTCCTTTTTGCCTTGAGCTCTTGATCAGTGCGCGGCACCCAGACCAGACCCTCGGTTCTGCGCCGCCAACTCAATATTCCGGCGGCACCATCACAAGCTTCCTGATCCCTCCTTTTCCTCACCACCGGCAAACCGCTGCTCCCATTCTAGCAATCAACGAGCCGAAGAGGTTGCTACCAGTCCCCTCTGCCGCGCTGTCGCCATCGCTAGAACCACGCCATCCCGAGGAGTGCCGCCAGCGAATCGACTGGACCAAAGACCCCTCGTGGCGGCTACTTCATCATCGCTGCCGATACAAGCTACAACAGCTTGTATCCCCCCCCCCAAATCCCAGGCACCGATTGCGGGGTGTTTTATCTATCCCGGAAGCAGAAGAGGTGCACCCTTATTGTCACTTCTTCTTAAAAAAAATTTAGAGAAAAGAAAGAAAAGTACAAAGAAAAAAAGAGGCACGCCACCCTAGCCCTAAATAGGGACCAACCTGGGATATCGACGGCGCAACGAAAAAAAAATTAGAGGCGCTGCTTGTTTTTATGCTTGTCTTGCCTTATTGCAACGTCGACGATCCGTGCTTTTCGGCTGCTGCTTTTCCCCTGAGTGCAGAGGAGAGTAAAGTAAAAGCGAGGCAACGTCTGCTGTGGGTTTCAACAGTTGCTGACAAGACGATAAGACACTTTGCCCATAGACTCGACTCCTGAGGTTTAGTATTTCGTTGCGTGCTTCTGCCTATTCCCTGCCTCTACCTTCACCCTTCCATCTTCATCTGTTTATTTACTTGAGATATCTGAGAAGGTTCAGCTTGGCCATATTTAGCGAGTGCAGCCATCCATATTCTTGCCCATTACGTTTCCTGTTTACCAAGGTTCTTTTTTTATTTTCGGCATATTTCACTCCGGCCAACAAAGCCAGGCAGGAGCTGGTCTCGCAACCCCAGCTTCCCTTCTTGTCATTCCGACTCCCTCCCTCCCTTCTTCTGCCGCACTTTCCGTCTTCTACATTTTTCTCTCCCTTTTTTTCTCTCTGAAAGTGGGAAAGTCTTAACCAGGTCTCATCCACTTGCCTTGCTTTCCGCTCATCGTGCCTCAAACCCGGAGCCCATCTGCACCTTCCCGCAAATCTCGTCTGCCGTGCTGCGCCAGCTCGGCATCTCAGTGCCGGGCCGTTGATATTGTGTCTCGCTTGGTTTGTGGTCCTCTTTTTCTATCTGGCCTCAGCCCAGAAGAGCCAAACCAGGATATTCATAAAGGCTCGGCATCTTTCCTCCTCTGGTTTCATTTTTTTGACTCTCTTTCTTTTTTTCCTCTTCATTTTTTTTTTCGATTAACTCTTTTTGTGCTTCTCGTCCTTTTGTTCACCAATCACCGGGAACGAAGGGTATTGGTTTAGCCAAGTCAAGCGCAAATACACGCACACGCCTTGATCGCTTTTACCTTGCATTCATTTTCTTTACGGATTCATTTTTCGTCTACCGAAATCCCTCGCTTAGGTATATAATCGGCCCTTACTATATCCCTATATCATATCTTCAGTTGCCGTGAACAGCGAGTGAGCCACCAAGCCGAGCCAGCTTACACGAATCACACATACTGACATCGGGCCATGTCGCAGGGAAAACAAGTAAAACATTTCCACCATGCAATCTCCAAGGTCTCCTCTTCACGCTTCCGACTCGGACGTCTCTCCAGCGTCAATGGTGCCGTCGAAGCAGTCTCATGAAGAGTATTTCCCCCCGTCTGATGCCAGCGGCAGCCAGAATTCGATGCCTCTCGCCTCCAGTGCTAGCGACACTTCTTCGCGACGACAATCGAAGCTCAGCTTCGCCACTGCGCTGCCAAAACCCGACGGAGCCCCGTTGCATAAAACCACATCAGGCTCGTCGGTCACTAAGCGGCGCGCTCTCGGCGTTCAGAAACGAGCTTCTGACGGTGCCAAAGCGCGTCCTCCGTCCCCTCCACCACACACCAGGTAAGCCATATGGCATTCTTCTCGTCTTCTTCTCCTCTCTCTTTGTTTTCCTCTCCAGCCATATCCATCCTCGTTTCATGTGTTTCTGTACCCCCCCATCTCAGGATTTGTCTTCCCTAGAACGGCAATGCGGCAAATGTCGAGTGGTGTCATGGTGATTCAAGGGCGCGGCTCTCAGACATTGTGCTCGGTGAGATGGACTGTCCCCAGCACGAGAGAGACACGCTTGTGCTCCTCTGGGTCTTCTTGATGCCTGCTCTCGGCAAAAAATTGCCGGTCAAGGATGGAGAATCCATTTCTCTGAATAACCCTTCCAAAGCAGCCGTTGCTGTCCTGTGCTGCGCCAGATATAACTCTGCCCTGGGACCAGTTGCCGTCCATTTTAGAGCCACGATAGCGTTCAGTTTATGTGGGCCGAAAGAACGCTTCAATCTTTACGCTAGCGGCGCTCTCATTAGTTCCATGTCTGGGAGTTCAGCACCATCCTCTTTTTCGCCATTGGGGTCGGCAGGGAACCACAAGTGAGGTATCTCAAGAGCAACATCGATTTGCTCAATGGGGCCAAGTTGGCAGCTCTAGTGCCACCACCAACCCCGATTACATATCCCTATGTTATACCATGGCCCTATCAGCTATGGCAGGATACCTTCTCGAATTCCTCTACATTGCTTATCCTCCAACAACAACGACCTGCTTTCTCCAATGTACATGTGATCCTTGGCGAAGGCACCCAGCCAGCAGTTATTCACCCCACTACTTTAACGGCTTCTTTGTATGGCTATTTCCTCCCCGCTGGCAGTCATAAACCGAGATGGCTCATGCCTATTTCCCTGTGATACAGTTCATACGAGCTATCCCAGCTCAAACCTCTTACATGCATCTTGTTTGGCATATGCATTTTTGACTCATTGACTCCTTGTGCTCTGCATATTATGTCTCATAACGCCTTGATCTGCCATGTTCTCTTATTTCTATCTCTCTCTATTTTCCCTGTTGATCCTTCTTCCTTGTGTAATCTAGCTTATAAGCTTTATTAACCCCGACCCCTTCCCTCCTAAAAGCCTTGATTTTGCAATGGGAATGACAGTGCTAACCTCGCAACTATGCGACAGATTTGAGCGCCATGTTGGCTTCGACAATGTGCCCATTGGTGAACCATCCAAAAAAGTTCCCTCGTCAGTTGTGCTCAATGTGAGGCATAATGGATACCAGCCGCGTCGAAGATCACGAACATTCATGGTCGGCGTCGACGAGAATCCATACTCAGAGTACGCTGTCCAATGGTTGTTAGATGAGCTTGTCGATGATGGCGACGAGATTATCTGCGTTCGCGTGATCGAAAAAGACATGAGACTCAGCGAGAAGTCATACTACAGCGATGCACAGCAAGTTATGGACGGCATCATGGCAAAGAACAGCAGTAACCGAGCCGTTGCATTCATTCTGGAGTACGCCGTGGGCAAACTACATTCTACCTTTCAGTCGCTAGTAAGTATCTATAAATGTCTTTGTGTTCCCATTCTCTGCCTTGTATTCCTAACCATCTACAAAAATCCAGATCCAACTCTATCAGCCAGCCATGCTGGTTGTGGGCACCCGAGGGCGATCTCTCGGTGGCCTCCAAGGGCTCGTCAATAATCGCAACTCATTTTCCAAATACTGTCTGCAGTATTCTCCTGTACCTGTCGTCGTTGTGAGACCCAGCGAGAAGCGAAGTAAGAAAAAGGCAAAGCGCACAAACGATAATTCGCGGCAAACATATGTCAGCATGCTAGCCGCCACTCATGGTAAACATGAAGCCGATAGCGAGGCTAGTAGCACCTACGAACTGGAGGTCCAAATTTCACCCGACGAGGAGGCGCATCAAGTAGCACAAGTTCTGGGACTGCCTGCTAAATTCGATCCGACTATTAAGCCTCACCACGAGTCTGTGCCGATGAGGTCAAAATCTCCCGACGCTGCGCCCGGTCCCCGAACTAGTATTGCGCGCCGTGTCGTCTCTGACCCGATGCCTTCTAGTGCTCCCCCCAGCGCTCCCAATAGCGAGGACGAAGAGGAGGATGAAGAAGGAGAGTTTGAGGTCATGACGGGAGCTGAGGCCCTGGATCAACAGCAGAAGCTAGACCAGCTTCACAAAATGGAGGTTAGTGAGGCAGCAGCGCTTAGGCATGGAATAAGCGCAGAAGAAGACGAGTCGGATGAGGCCCAGGGGCGAAATTCTGAGAGTGCATCCTAGAAGATGCTTGCCGCCCCAGGCTGTACCTCAGGGGCCCTAATCATGAAGAGTATGGAAAGATTTAAAGATACTGTAACAGTTACGATGAGAGGAGGCGGCGACTCTAAGCCACGCGATCACCACCGTCGCAGGGTTGCCCAGCAAGAAATGACGCCCAGCACATCTCGTGTGACGCCTGATGCGAGAGCAAGAGGGCTAGAAATGGCAGCGCGAGTGAGTTCGCCCCAAATACAAACAGCTTCGCCACAGCCAGCTCCACAAGCGCGAGGTTAGAGAGCGTCGGTTTTGGAGGGTAGGCCATCTTTGGGCGGGCCTTCAACCGCCGCGCCTTCGAGAGCAGCAGCCACAAGAGTGTCGAGTTCACGGGTAGCATCTTCTGGATCAGGACATTCAAGACAGTTTTCTGTTGGGGCAGAATCGTCTCGGACAAGACCTTTAGGGTCAGGACCATCAACACACGCGCATTCAAAGCCGTTGTCACACACTGCTCGGCCCTCTCCAGCGGAGGTTACAGCCAGTTCTGCCATAGCTAGGCATTCTAGAGTAGCATCTCCAAAATCTAGGCCCCTGGATTCTCCAAGATATGACTCCCCAGGTTCGTCAATATTTAGGCCCTTGGAGTCTCCCATAACGACGCCAGCAAGGGTTGAAGTTCCTAGAGCCAGAGCTTCATCTTGGGCAGAAAGTTCTTCCGATGATGTGCCTTTAGCAACGTTTTTACCTACAACCAAGCAGCTTCCAGCTAGATCACGATCGCCTAGGCACACAAGAGCCAGATCTGAAGGGCCTTCACTATCGGAGCAGACACTACGGACTGTATCTCCGTTGACCAATGCCCCACCTCACCAAACGTTGATAGAGGCTTCCATGGACAACAAGGACAAACTAAAGAAAGCCATCGAGTTGTACAACGAGTTCGCAGCGGAAGCCTCAAGAGCGTCAGATGTTGCGAGGATTTGCGACGACAACAAAGTCGCTGGTATAGAGAGAGGCAAAGTCGCCCAACGTCCGTCACGCTCACTCTCCTTGGACCAAATCTCCCTAGTTAAACAGATTGATAAACTGAAGGCGGAATTCGGGGAGAAGACAGAATACGAGCCAGAGGATCCCTTGATACAGTCTCCTGCCCTTGCACACTTCTCTCCCTTTTCCAAGCCGGAGTCACGAGGCCCTCCTCGAGGGCAATCACAGCAGTGGCAAAGAGAACACCTGCGATCAGATGATCCACAACAACGAGAGTTGGAGGAACTTTTCGAGGAGCCATCAAGCCCGCGCTTCCGGCAATCGAAGGGGCCATACCAGCATCCATCTCGGTCACAGTCATTTCAGTCACAGTCACAGCAGTCTCAACAGTCTCGGTCTCGATATAGATCTCAGCCATCTGGATCTCAGCCATCCAGATCACATTCATCTAGATCACAGTCGTCTAGATCGCAGCCACCTGGATCGCAGCCACCTGGATCACAATCATCTCAGTCACAGCCGCAACAGTATCAACAGCAGCAGCCAATGCGGTACAAAAATGCGCCTCGGCAACATCATCGACAACGGCAGCGGACTAATTCATGGCCACGTACTCAGGGTTTAGAGAATCTTGCTGCACATGGCTTAGCGTACGTGCCAGAGGCTCCGCGGGAGGCGGCCGCACTTTCCATCAACCATGGAGCAGATACTGCCATGTTAGAACTACAAGAACTTCCTAGTGGAGCTAGGAAGGGTAAGGATAGAGTTGCTCGCGGTGACTATGGACTTGGCCCAGATCCGGTCATTGATGTTGAAGCAAACAAAAAAAAGGTCTGTTGCTCAAACTTTCCAAAGTTTCCGGGCTGGAAAAACTGGTTCACCAGGCGGGGCGATGAGTAAGGGCCAGCCAATTCGGGATGAATTTGAAAACCAATGCTAGTATGAGAGGGCACTTGAAATGGGGCATGTATTGAAAGCGAAGCAATGTGGAACTAGGTACTAGGTAGCTTAGCGATTGATAGAAGACTGAACGGTATTTTGGTAATAGAGCGATGGATTTATGACTCTAGCAGTGCCAAAGCATCAAGAACGCATGCTGTAGAATCGAGCGTGAATACGATGAGCCAAGACGAGACTGATGGGACGTAGCTGCCCAGGCAGGTTTAGTAGGTGACTTTCACGTACTGGAGTCGTCGTACGATGGATTTTACTTTTTGCGCCGAAGAGCCCAACGAAGACAGCATCAACAATTAAGAGTGTGCCGTCTTCCGTGGAGAGGGGGATTCTGCGCCAATAAAATGGCGATGTATAATCATTCTGCCGATGAATAAATAGTAATCCGTCACTAACTCGCATCTCGTATAATCAAGCAAGGGTTTATTTTTTCTGGGTGGTTTACGCGGCTTTGGAGGCGGGGTTGAGGCTCTGGCTCTGCCCAGTGAAACGGGGCGTCTCGAGACGAAACACTGGGAGTGGAGTGGGGGATTGCTGTCGGGTGGAATAAGGTTATGCCAGGATGTGTGCATGTGCTTGGGCTGATGTTTGCAATTCAAGGCCACACAAGGTGTTTGTTATGCTACTCTGGCACTGCTACTGTGCAGTAGTACTGCTAGTATATATACATAGTAGGAAGATGGAGGCTTCGTGTTAGCTTTGGCGCTGAATCAGACGAGGCTAAACGGCTGGAAATGGACCAATTGCGCTGGGACGGAGCCGGGTGGGCTGTAACGGTGGGGGAGTCTGACTGCGGGAAGTACAGTGACCTGCCATTGGCTGCGGCGGCCATGGGGCGCCTCTACCCGCCATGACGACGTCAGCGTCACTCTGCTAGCACAGGCACAAGGCACGGCGCTGCAGTACCGGTACATGAGGATCGTCGTCATTCCTGTCCTTTTCCTTCCTCCTCTTTTTTTTTCTCGCTCTTCGTTCTTTTGACGTTGCATTTTGTACGAAGCACAGAAGTAATGGTGATCTGTGCAACCCTGTACATACACGCTGTTGCTACATATTACTTACTACACAGAGTGCAGATTGTCGTTTCTGTCTGGTTCACTCGGCTGTTTCTCGCTGGTTCTTGTGCGAGCGGCCAGATCATAAAGCTGAACTTTTGAACGCCCGCTTGAGTGACGGGGCATGGCAGTACATTCGCTTTTTCTTTCTTGCTAAATCTCCCGCTTCCTCTCTTCTCTTTTCTTCATCTCATACCATTGACACACAGAAAGCTTGGGCCCGATTACGGTTTGCTGGACACCAGGTGGCTTGAGCTTCCTCTGGAGTTTGTTGCGTTGTGGCTGCGCCTGAATCGTGCTTTTCTTTAACCGGCTTGGCGGGGGGGGATTGGACGATAAAGCTGCGATTTGCGATTACGACGGAGACGGGGACGGCGGGGACTAGATATACCTACACACGATACGAGCGAGAGAGGACGATTTGAGCGGAGGAAAAGTAGTGACTGGGTAAATCGACACAGGTATCACAAAGAAGAAAAGAGGAGGAAATCAGACCAAGGAGGAAGAGAAAAGGAGGCACCAACAACACAGCATAATTGTATATATACCAGCACAGATGTGGCCCTTCTCGCTCTTCTCCTCCTGCGACCGACACGATGCCTGCGCTCCGCCCAGCCCCAACGCCGTCACCGCAGCAGCGCTGCTCTCGGCCCTGCCCTTCGCTGCAGTCTTCCTCGCCGCCAACGCCGTCGCCGTGCGCCTCGTCTTCCCGAAGCTGAGCGCCGCGGCGCAGGACGACATCCGTGACGGCGAGGGTCACGTCCTCCCGGCTCATGCTCCCGCAGCGCTGCGACAAGTTCACGCAGAGCACGGCAGCAAGAGCTGGCGGAGGCGCGGCGCGGCCTGGGCCTTTGGCACGACCGTTGGGCTGGCGGCGACGCTGGGCGCGCTCATCATGGCGGAGATTGTCGAGGCGGTGGATCCGGTGGCGAGGAATCTTGCGCTGAGGGTGACGGTGCCGGCGTTGCTGTTTATGCTGGTGGTGCTGATTCCGTGGCTGGAGTGTCGGTCGGTGGTTTCCAGCGCGGGCTGGAGTTTTCAGAGGACGGCAAAGGGAAGGATGCCGCGGATGGCACTGGGGCTGCAGGCGGTTTTGTTTGGTGGATGGTTGTTTTTGTTCTGGTCGATGGGGAGCGTTGTGCCGAGAGCTGAGATTATGCTGCGATCACCGCCGCCTCCAACCATTGATGGCAAGATGAAGGGCACTATGGGTGAGGATCTGACGAGGGCTTGCCTGGAGAGGATTGGCGTGGTGGGAATATCGCTCATGGCGTTGCTGTCTGGCTTTGCGTCAGTATCGTCGCCGTGGCACACGTTTAGCAGTGCCGAGTTGAGGAAGCGGAAGCCCCTGACCGAGGCAGATTTGAATCGCAAACAAACGGGTTTGGATGCGACCAACGAGATGCTTGTGACCAAGAAGCATAGACTGCACTACCTGGAGAGAAAAGTTGCCGAGGGTACTGTTGCCAATGGAGGTAAATCTGGAGGGCTTGTTGGTCTTGTCATGGGGTCGATTCGCGGACAATCAAGCGAGCAGGTCGAGATGCAGACGCTCAGGATGGAGATTGCCGGGCTGGAAGCCATGGAGGCCAATCTCTCTTCCAACCTCTTGCTGATGAAGAGCCAGCGCGCAGCTACGGCCCGGGCATCCACGACGGTTGGCCGCCTCCTGCTCGTGCCGTCGTACATTTTCAGCGCCTACTGCGTGTACCGCATCCTGGCGACGTCCCTGACGACGCTCCGGCGAGCGTCTTCCCCGTCAGCCAGCTTCGCCAACAGCGATCCCATTAACCGTTTTTTGGGTCTCTTGGCGAGACACTGGGACCCGAAGCTCGACCAGATGGCGTGGGCGCGCATCATCAGCTTCGCCCTAAGCGGCGTTATTCTCGTCGCCAGCGCAAACAGCGCCATCCAGACGTTCCACCTGTTTGCAAAGTGGACGCCCGGCCTGCTTCGTCACGCACAGGCGAATCTTGCCCTGGCGGTTGGTCAAGTCATTGCTACGTACGTCATATCCGCGAGTCTGCTGCTGCGGAGCCAACTTCCCAGCGAGGCGAGATCCGCTGTGGGAGGGGTCCTGAGGGGAGCGCTGACGCCGGCCTTTGTGGACGGCTGGTTTGAAGGGTGGTTCTTGCTGGGGAGCGTGGTGACGGCGATGGGGATCTGGGTTGGGAGGAAGATTGGCGGTGCGACGGGGGCGGATGACGAGTGGGATGATTATGGGATGGAGGAGATGGGTGCGAAGAGGTCTTGATGATGATGATTCTTCTTTTTTTTCATCCATTTCATCCATTTTTTTTTTTTTTGTTTGTTTGGTTGATGATAACTGTGTATGCTGGCCTGGCGTTTGTTTGAGTTTTACTTGGGGGACATCTCCTTTTTTTTTTTTCATCTTCGTGTCCTCGGGAGGATATTTATATGACTTCAATGCTGAGCATGCACGTTGAAGCAAAGTATGTAAAGCATGCCTTTTACCTTTATATCCATCCATCTATCTTATCTAGGTAGTCGTCTTTCAGAACATAAAAGGAGAGAATAACAGGAACAAAAAGACGTTTGTATCATCAGAGCCATGATCATCATCATCATCATCATCAGAGACCCCCCTCTCCTCCCAACTTACACAATAATGCCCAGCTCCCTCCCCACACTAAAAGCCTCCAAAAGAGATCCCCAAACAGCCTGGCTCGTAAACTCCATTACCCTCTTCCCCCCATCAGAAAGCTCCTCGTCCGGGAAAATCGTTTCGGTAATGACACTCGACCTCAAGGCCCGTCCCGTCCGGACCTCCTCCTCCGTGAACCACCCCCACTCGACATGCTCCTCCAGATCAATCTCGACCTGCGCATCCTCCGCCACAGTAGCGAGGAAATTGACTTTCCCCCAAATGCCATCCGGTTCGTGAAACGTCGTAAACAGAATCTTCATCTCCTCCGAGACATGCACCTCTATGTCCTCTGCCTGCTCATCCTCAGGATCAATGCCCCAATTTTCAGGCCTCTTCTCCTCCGCCGTCGACGAAGAAAACAGCTCTTCGGCTTTTTGCTTCGTCATGCCCAGCACGGCGTGGAAATGGCTCTCCCCGAGGGCGGATTCCTCAAAGAGCTCGCGCGCGGCGGCGGACAGGATTGACGCGTCGGTGAGGTCGGCTGAGCCGCCGGGGGCTTCCCACTTGAGGCCGTAGGAATCTGCGGGGGAGCGGCGCAGGAGGAGGATCTGAGGAGGGGACAGGGGTTGTTTTTGCTGGCGGAGGACGAGGACGCTGGTCATGAGGTGGGCGATGGAGGGGACGGATTTGGAGGACAGGGTTTGGGGGGTTTGGAGGGTGAGGGGGGAGAGAGAGGGCGAGAAGGTGAATTTGTAGGGGGGGGACATGGTTGGTGGCGATGGCTGGTGATGTTGTTGTTGATGCTGTTCTATATGGTATATAGCGGATGAGGTGAGAGAGGGTGACCAAGAGTGTAGACGATAGACGAGAGAGAGAGAGAGACTTGCAATGTCGTCGCAGTCAACGATTGAGCGCGCAATATATTATATCCGACCATCTCCTGCAGAGTGCCGAGCACAGGCAGCCATTCATCCATCTCGCTGCCTGCACAGCCTTGCAATGACGGTTACCTGATAGGCAAACGCAATCCACACATACACAGAAACGTCATTGCACCCTTTCAAGTTATTTGTGAATTTTTTTTCTCATTTGCCTCGCACCTCTATCGGAAAAAAGACTCGCTTCAAAGCGACTACGTTCGGCTGCCTGTTCGTTTTGTTTGCCAGCCCCAGGCTCCCCTTTTTTTTCCATGCCCGCCATTCTGTCTACCCGCATGAGCCTGTCCAAATCCCAAGCTTTTTTTGTCCCTTCTCTCGTAGCAGCCATCTTTGTCAAGCGACCAAGTAAAAAAAAAAAAGACGTGAAAAATCAAACAAAGAAACGAAAAGAGTCGAAAAAAATGACGAAAAAATAGACACTTGTGCAGATTGTTCCCCTTTTTTATACTCCCTCCCAAATGTCCATAGATGAACTGATTAGTCCCCTGCTTTCCCTACTATCCACACTGCGTAAAGCGTGAGCCCGTCATCATCATCAATCGAAAGCTGATCGCAGAAAATCACCTCTCCCTCTTTTTCAATCTAGTCTGTCCCGCATCTCTTGGATGTCGTGAAAATTGTATCGTGTTTCAACCGCCTCCTATCCCTTTCTTCCTCCAAACTGTAGTAAAAGTCATTACGGCCGATATATACGGGGCAGCTGCAATGTTCATTATACCCGTCTGCCAAGTAGCAAATAAGCCTCTATCAAGCTCATCCAGCGAACGTAGGCAAGGCAAGTAATGCTGTAATGGGCTCCACCAACTGATACCAGAGCAGCCAAGGTGACTCAAAAAGAGTCATCTTTGGTGTCGAGGCGGCATCATCTGGCATTGCCGGAAAATCATGGGCCATATCCAAGCAGTTTTCAGCCTGGAGATAGCCGAGAATATAGGCCGCATGGGCCTTCTCCGCAAAACAGTAAAGCGTCAAGGGGAAAAAAAAAAAAGTCGAGACAAGTGCACAGGATGTCAGGACTGGATCTGCTGGCGTAAACCTTGCGACGGCATCTCTAGTCATGAAAACCGAAAGGAAATGGGGATCAAATTTTACAATCGCTTTTGTTTTTTTACACTCGGCCGGTACGTCCCTTCTTGCCAACAGCAACGGTAGTCCAGCCGTCCTCATCAGCAGTAGGGGCAGCGGCAGGGGCATCGCCCTCTGCTACAGGTGCAGCAGCCTGCTGGCCGTTGGATCGAGGGGCGCGGTTATCGTTGCGAGGTCCTCGAGCCGGGCCTCCACGGCTGCCACGGTCGCCACGGTCGCCACGGTCACCACGGTTGGGAGGTCCACGGGGTGTTCGGGGCTCTGATCTCCAGTTGCCAGACTCAGTAGCTCTTGATTTCGGCGCCTCCTTGGGCTGATCCTTGGCTCGGATGGGGATCTTCTCCTCTGCCGCACCGTTTTGCGTCTCTCCCTCAACCTTTGCCTCTCCCTCTGGCTTGGTCTCTGTCTCGGCTTCAGCCTTTGCTTCAGGCTTGGCCTCACCAGCCTCAGCGGCTTCTTTAGCTTCAGCTTCAGCTTCAGCCTTGGCGGCGGCAGCCTCCTTGGCAAGGCGCTTCTCTTCCTTGGCCTTCTCGTCCGCCTCACGCTTCTCCTGGATAGCCTGCAGTCTCTTCTCCTCAATCTCCTTTTCCCTCGCCGCGGTGTCAATAGGGCGAGCAGCACCAAAGGGGCTGGCCTTGGAGTCCGAGGCCGCAGAGGCAGAGCTGTCAGCAGCCTCTGAAACGGTTCGCTTCTGAAGGTTCAAGCGAGGGCGGCCAGCAGGTTGAGCCGGGGCAGCTCCGGGGGAGGCCGGAGTCTCAGCTGCAGGTGCGTTAGCAGCATCCGGACGCATGCTGCTGCGCCACTGGAAATCCTTTTCAGCAGCGGTAGCGGTGCGCTCGGGACGCTCGGGGCGCTCGTTGTACTGGCGAGGAGGACGGCCATTGCCCTCTCCCCAGGTTGCAGGGTCGCGGCGGTTTCCACGGTATGATTCGCTGCGCTCGCCCAGACCCTCCTGGGGTCCACGCGCACGGCTGCTCTCACGGGATCCAGGCTCCTGGGGAACAGTAGGAGACAGAGGTCCTCGTCGCTCCCAGTTCATCTCACGGGGGGCACGGCCTTCGGAGGCGGGATCACGGAGGCGTCGTTCGCCAAAGTCAGATCGGGGGCCCCTTGATGGGCCAACATCGGGCAGAGGGCCTCGGCGAGTCCAATCGCTCAGGTCCCGGGCGGATTCACCTCGACCATCTCGGCCATCACCGCCACGAGCTACATGATTGGGTTAGCATGGAGGATTTTGAGAATAGGATAGTAGACACATACGAGGATCAGCGACCTTGATCTTGATCATACGGCCCTCAAAGGACTCTCCATCAAGGTTCAGGGCCTTCTTGAGGCCTTCAACATTGCCAAACTCAACATATCCAAAGCCCTTGGGTCGCTGTAGCTCTCGGTCTTCGATAATACGAACGCTGACGACGTCACAGCCCTCGAAGAAGGCAGTTACGGACTCGCTGGTTGCGTCATACGACAAGTTACCCAAGTGAGCGGTAAAGGGGGGCCTATCGGGAATCTTGGAAGGAATGGATTCGCGGACAGAGTAGCCTACAGCCATTAATTACGCTGAGCAACAAGGAGTATTCAGATACAAGTAATACATACCACGATCCTGCCACGAAGACATGCCACCGCCGGAGCGAGCGCTGTCTCGAGCCGGGGGAAGAGGCTGGGTACCTGCAGCATGGGTCAATATCTTCTGTGTCATATACCACCAAGGCCCGGACTATGCCAGGGCCTTTTCCTTATTTCCGAAATGTATCTTTCAATCTCAGGTATTAACTTACCAGAAACTATGAGCAGGTTAGCCACTGTCTACCTAGCAACAGTTGAGCCACAGAAACAACTTACCATAGGTTTCCTCAACCTCATCAGCCCAAGAGCCTCCACCACCAAAACCTAAATCAGAAGTCAATATATTAATGTTCGGAGACGGCCCTGGTAGTGCCAGCGTGGGGTGTCGATGCGACCCGCATGTGAAGGCGGTCGGCGAGGGTCAAGGGAGGGGTGACGGTGATTGATGGACGGGAGCACCAACCTGAATCATTCAGAAAGTCCCCGAGGGACATTTTCTGTTGTTCCTTCTTCTTGGGAGCTAGAGGCAGACGTCAGCAGGGCATTCTCGAGGACTCGGCACAGCCAGATTCAGTGACATACGCATGATTGCGGTTGAAGGGCGAGCTTGCGCAACGATATCAAGCACCGATGCGCAAAGAGAGCAGCGTCAATGGAACAGGCGGTGGCCGAGAGACGTCGACGAGAGCAGCCAATGGCGGGCCCAGATTGGCTTCAGGCGGACGAAGAGCGAATGCGAGAAGCGTGTGCGAGGCCCAGACAAGCGGTGCCGGGTCTGGGGTTGGCGAGGTGAAATTTGCTCGTCGTGGAAAAAAAACGATGCGGCGTCGTGAGAAGGGCTGGTTTGCCTTTTCCATTTCCAATTTTTGCCCGCCGAAGAGTGGGAGGCGCCAGGCCGCTTTAGGGCTAGTGCGCGCGATAATACCGGTACATGCGCAAAGGTATAGTACCCCAGAGTGCCTTGAGCCGCCCGCGGTGTGCGCCTGCGCAGCGCCGTACCTGCAAAGTCTCTCCCACCAGCCGCCGACCCGTTTTGTGCATATCTGCAGAGCCCCACCAATGCCAGGCGAGGAATTGGAAGCGGTTTTAGGACAAGGTACAAGCGCGAGGTACCTCGTTCGCAGAGATTGACCTCATCAACACCGTCATATGTCTTTTCATACTATTAATAGCCTTGTATATTTTCGTTTTTTTAAATCTACTCTATGCCACCATACCTTTAACGCGTACATATTCTGATTTACTACCTGTATTACTATCTATTTCCTAGTCTTCCCATCTCATTCTTCCGTCTTCAACCTCTCTCTCCGTTCTCGCTTAGCCTCAGCCAACGGGAAAAATCCGCCAACATGAGCGACAAGTCCGAGCCTCCGTCTGGCGCCATTCAGCAGCAGCAGCGCAAGAAACGAGGCTTATTACCACCAGAACTTGTAGATCTTATGGTGACTCCCATTCAAGTTGGTGCATGGTCTGGTGCGTTCTCTGTTTCACCGCGTATGCCTTGACACTGAGCTCTAACATGTACATACAAGGTGCTGCTGGAGTGATGGCCGGTGTTGCCGGTGCCATTGCGCGGGACACCAGCCCTGTTGCTAGTGGTGCTGTAACTGGATTTCAATGGTTTGCTCTGGGAGGAAGCTTTTGGTGTACGTCTACTTCATCTTGGTGGAATCATTACTCATACGGCCCTGTCGCTAACTCCATCAAAGTCACTAGATCCGTGACCGTGAGGGCAATGGGAGGTGACCAGCAGCTAAGGCCAGTAGACAAGACCATCGCAAGCACAGTAGGAGGATCAGCAGCTGGTGCAGTGGCCGGATTAATACGTGAGTATCCGTAACAGGCTTTTCTATTTGCATCAGCACTTAATAACTAACTTTTGGATAGGGGGGCCAGGGAAGATTCTACCCGCCATGGTCATGTGGGGAGTATTAGGGGCGGGCGGGCAGATGGTTGCCAACGGCTTGGGAAACAGGAAACCTAAAGTGAAGGATGAAAATGACAGCTGGTTCAGGTCAAAATGGAGCCCATTGAAGAAGCTCACAGACCAGGAGTATATCGACATGATGGAAGAGAAGATTCTGAGAGTGGAGGCGGATATTGCTCTCATCGACGATCGGATTATAGAACTGAAGTCTATTGAACAGAGAACCAAGAAAGAGAATAGGACATGAAAATATCATAATTCAGCAAGACAAAATTAAGGTTCATTTAATTGTAATATCCGGTAGGGCGGCATGCGTAGTTGTATTAGGTACACCTTGCACACCTTGCACACCTTAGCTTCAGTGTGCATGCCGTTAGTTAATCAGCGGTCTCCAATGCCAAATCAATATCATACGATTGCTTTAGACGAAAAATTAAATTTCCCCCTGCATTCATTGCGCTGGAGCAAGAGAAATCTTGCAGCTCGTATTACAAATTTGCAGGATGCCATCATCTTATAACCAGAAATAGGGTTAGCGGCGATACGCGATGTAGCCGTTATTGCGGCTTATGTCAGCATCTAATTTGAGCAACCAGAAACATATTTTCTAACTGCAAGTTTGAATTGGCAGCCGGTCAAACGATTATATCTATGTCCTAAGCTATAGGATGCTTGGCGCCAAGTAACCAAGCATTTTTTTTTTCTGCCCGTAATTGTGGTAGATACGTGACGATACGTGTATTTTCAAGGCATTTTAGGGTAAGCCTAAGCTCCAATGGCTGGAACCAAGCCTCCTTGCAGATCGCATGGCCCGTGAGGCGCGTTAGCACCCGCCGCAATCTCGTCCAGTCGCACTACTCCCTACAGATAGAGATTGATGCAACGCTAAATCTTGGGTGACGCGCAGCCGCTGGAATGTTCCAGGAGAGATTTGACAGGTCGAGCCGAAGATATCCTGGCAAAGCGCGGGAGCTGGCGTGCCGTGTTTATTTAGCTCAGAGCGTTTGTGTAGGTGCTACTGCAGTACTGCTTCACTATGCACTAACATGGCAGCATCTTGCAGCACTACGAATAGTAATAGGTGCCCACTCTGATCTCTCGCACCCCTAGCGAGGCATCGCATCTACCTACTCTGAATGGCTTCTGCAGGATCGTACGCGGCCTCCTATTGTGCTCCGTCCAGGCAAATCTCCCGCTGGCAGATCCCACTTGCGCTGGGCAGCTCCTCCAAGCACTACGACCGCTAGCACCACGTCCCCGTGCCCCATACCGGCATGGCACTCCGCACATTTGACTTTGATATCCGGCGCAAAGCTGAGCTTGTGAAGCTCGGATTATGCTCTGTGCCTGCATATGCGTGGCTATAGCTTCATCTGCAGCTTCGCCTCGTACTCGGGAAATGCTGCTCGCACAGCTTGCATGCAGACCATGCCGAGAGCTTCATCTTATCGCAATGTTGCTTTTAGATTTCTTAGCGGCTCTTTTTGTTAGTTGCGCCGATTTGATGCGACTACTACGGCACTGCCGGACCGTCCAGCTAGGCGCGAAATGCAAAGTACAGGGCACAAGCTCTCCTTGTACCCCCGCTAGGACCTCCCAGCCTGACGCCACCGGATCCCAGCTGAAAGCCACATGCGATAACGAGCTTGCGGCCTGCATGGAGTAAGTAGGCACACGATAATAGGTGATAGCTGGAGCAGAGCAGCCGACCATGGTGTTGCGTACGTGGTGTACTACTAATGGCGTCTGCATGTGCATATGCGCAATCACTTTTATGGAACACCGTGGCTTCTCGATCTGTGCAGTTCGTCAAAGAAAATAGAAGCAAAAGGAAATAAAATTGAAATAAAAATTAAAAATTAATCTGCATCTCCCGGCTATCCCTCCCTATCCCCATCCATCCACATCCCTATTTTTTCGCTGCCTCCCCCTTTTCCGCCGCGCTGGTTCTGCTGCCAGCCGTGACAGGTACTTGGCCATCGGGGGACAACCAAGTACCCGGTACCGCAGCCCGCCGCCCATCTGCCGCAGCTGCTCCGCTGGTCACTCACTGACTTGCACCTCGCCCGCGATTCCATTCGCAACTCTCCTTGTCAAATGCTCGTGCAGCTCGCCGCCTAGTCGTCGTCAACCCCCGTCTTTCCTCGTGTGACGCGGGCCGCAAACGCTCGATCCGCAGCCCTCCCGGACTTGTTGCGGCACAGCTTGCCCCGATCGTCATCCCGGCGCCGGCACGCCTTGGCCCTCCTCGATTCAGGGAGCTTTCCGGCGTCCCGACTGTCCAGGATCCTCGTCCCTGGTCCGGCGGTTCGGCACCCCTCCCCTCGTCCAGTCTCGTGTGCTGACTGGCCGCGTCTTCTAGACGTTTTCTTCTCTTCTTCCTCCAACTGCCATGTCGCGTCTCTCGTGTGCTTGTTCCTGCTGAAGTGTTTGTTTGTGCGCGAGAGAATGGTCGGCCTGCTACCGGCGTCATGTAAGTACCAATTCCCTTTTCCAAGCTTGCGATCTTGTGTGGTGCTTTCTCCTGACGCTTTGCTTTGCTCCTTATCAGCCAGGTAGTAATTGAGGTCCCCCCCCCCTTGCGCGCTGCTGCAAACATGGCACTTCTAAGTCCGACCTTTGCCCTTGGTGTCTTCGTCCTACTCTACCTCTCGTCCTTTGTCCTCTTCGCTGTCCTTCGCATCGTCACCGGCGTATCGATCCAACGAATAGGCTACTTTTCCCTCCGCCGACTTGCGTACACACCGAGAGATGGAATCCGCATCGAGATTCGCGGGTTGGGACTTAACATCCACCGCCCAACTTTCGCACAGCCCACATGGCTCAGCATCGTCCTCAGCGATCTAACAGTTACCGCCGATGTCAAGAAGCTCGAAGAGCGAAAACCTGCCAGCGAGGAAACACCCGAAAATGTAGATACTGAGAAGGAGAATGTGGTGGAAACAGAGGAAGAGATCGACCCGCTGTTGGGGAAACCAGAGAAACCCCCTTCTCCTCGACGTCAAAACTCTGAGCCCCGAGCTGAGACTGAGACGTGGTCCCGCCTGCAAAAGCTCAAGGAGAAGGTGAAGAAGCTACACAGCAAAGTGAAATGGCTGCGCATGGTGGATGTGGTCGTGACCAACTCGGTCATCAACGTGGTCGATGTGGGCAGCCTCCAGGTTGGGAGCTTGACGCTTGCTGTGGACACAAGACACAAAATGGCCGATCGAGCTCGATTTTTCTTCCACCGTTCCGAAGCTTCAAAGGAGAATGCCGAGGCCGAATGGATTTTGACTGTACGGAGCGTCTTTTTCGCGGCCGACGGCTGCGAGTCCCTCCAAATTCTCGACCATGCCTTGCTCAATGTTCACGGCTACTTATACCCGTCGCAAGAGGGCCTCCGAGATGCTACTGTTGCTTTGAAGCTTGGCCGAGTTCAGATCCCCTACGACGAGCTCCAGCTGTCTGCCGCAAAGTTCAAACTGTCTCGAAAGCAGCCAAAAGTTGCCAATTTGGAAGATCCGGTGGACATATTCGTTAGCAAGGTGCAAGATGGGACTGCACAGAATACAGATCACTTGATGAAGAGCGTCTCGGACTCGAAAGAATTCTTCAGCTCCATTTTGCGCGGTATTAAAGAGGTTCAATTTGCCGTCAGTTTCGTTGGCCTCGTCAAAAAGGTCGATTCTGTCCACCCTGCGGCAAAACCAGTACATCTCACTGCGTCTATGAAGGAAGTCGGTATCGATCTGCACCGCCTCGACCCGAAATCACCTGCACACCGCATGTATTTTCCGTCCAAAGACATTGCTCACGAAGCACTTGTGGCGGCGCTCTCAATATCGGTTGGAATGGATGATGGCCTCGACAAGCCGCAGCGAATTGTTTACATCCCCATGGCCACCACGACCGTCAGAACCACGTTGCCCTCCAAGACGATCCAGCTTTCTTCAGTGGATAGCTTCGAGGAGAAGAATGCCAACATTCTATTCGCCAACTCTGTTGTGACCTCGCCATCCATCGATCTTGACCCGAGGCACCTTCCTCTACTGATAGCAATGATGCGATCCAGGCCGAAGCCGCCAAAGACAGAGCGAAGGCAGCAGCAGAAAGACCTCTTTTCTCGACTGCTTCCGAAAGCAAGCATCAAATTTACCATGCATGAGCCTGTACTCCGCATCAAGCTCAAGCCACTCGAGAAGACTGAGGATCCAGACGATTATGGTCTCATTATATCATCCATCTCGTCCGTTGCCCTTGATGTCGAGTCATCCCACTCGCCTCTTGAAGACCTGCATTATTCTCTGGATGGAGCCATGCGACTGCAATCCCACCACTTATACTACCAGGCCGTTTCTGGTGAGAGATTTGACCTGATAACAACCGAGACTTTTGACCTCAAAGTCCATTTGGCAGCCAACCCCGACATATCTGTCGACGCCACCAGCAACATCCAGTCGTTTGCCGTTAGTATGGTACGGCCGGAAATTACAGATGGCGTCCGCCAGATTGTGCGACAGCTACGTACTGACGTTGAGCCAACCAAACGAGCTGCCCCCAAATCCAGACGGCACCAGAATTTCCTGAGATCTCTTCCCGAATGGCTTTTCCGTTACCAGATCACAGCTGAAGATTTCAATATTGAGATTGCTGGCATAGACGAAGAGATATCGGATGACAGCAAAGGCATCTCGCTACATCTTGATGGCATGTCTGCCGAGTATCGTGCTCAGAGATTGGATGGCTTGCAGAAACGAATGCTTAGACGACGGACTCATAGCCGTTCTCTCACTCAGTCAGACTCAGATCTTGCGTCTTCGAGTCCTACTAGAGCTAAGAAGAAGACTCAGAACGTCGGGGATGGCCGCCGACTGGTATTCAATGCCAGAGGTATAGAAGCTCAGATTATCGAAACTGCCGAGCAACTCGAGGTGGAGCCTTTCATTATCTTGCCTCGCCTTGAATTTTCCCTCGCTGCGTCAAGCGACAACCATGGTCCCTTGTTCTACGTTCAGTCATCTGTCCGTTCAGTCATGGTTCAATACTCCCTATATCGACATTATTGTGTGGGCGTCGCCATGAAGACAGTAAGGAAGGCCTTTATGAGAACCAGTAGTGATGCTCCAAGGCCATCACAGCATGACCTAGCAAAGGCACAGCATGACCCAGCAAAGGCGGATTTCCTCGCTCCTCCTACCGGCGGATCTGGCTTTTCCTCTGTCGATTCATCATCTACCATCACGGAAGCTATAGTCGTTGATGTTAAAGTCGCATTGTTTCAAGTG